CCCATGCCACACATGGGCCAGACACACCTCAAAGGTGGCGTTTGCTACAGATGTGAAATGGAAAGGGGCAGAGCTGCTCACATGCAGGGGATGGGGAAGCTGGGGGGAGCCCGGGTGCTGGTGCAATGGAGTGGGCAAGGCATGGCTTCTGGAGCTAGATAGCCCAGGGATGCTCCTGCTGATGGAGAGATCTTGGGAAGAGACTGAGCTTCTGAGCTTTGTGTTCCTGTCTTTGCAAAAACATGGTAAGGACTGAAGTACAGAATACGTGGAAACGTACTTCATTCCATCATTCCACCAACGTTTACCGAGTCCTTTCTATGTCTCGGCCTCTACTCTGGAAGCAGTCAATGTGAAACACAGTACAGATGTTAATCATTGCTAATGATATTGCCCATCTCTCCCTCCGCAGGAGGGACAAGGCCGGGCCTTCCTGTAGAACAGGACAGACTGCTTCATAAGTCTGGGGAATACTTGCTGATTTAACAGCAGGCTGAAGACCTCAGGGCCACACTGGGGCATAGGAGAACTCCAGCCTTAGAAATAGGGTCCAGTCTAAGCCAACATGCTCGTATCAAAAAGCGACAAAAGTTACTGGGCAAGGGCACAGCTGGCCCAAAATGAGGGGCCAGTGAACTAGAACCCAGTCAAAACTTCCAGACATCTGCTGCCCTGACTTGGGTCAAGGGGCATTCATGACATGGTAAACAAGTGTAAGGCCAGGGACAGCCAATGTTGGGGCCCATCCTGTCACTTCAGGGACCTGGATTGCTACCATTGGCATCAATCATGGCGGGGGTGGGGGGCCATGTTAGGACTTTGGAGAAAAAATTAGGCTAGGGAAGTTTTGACTGGGTTCTAGTTCACTGGCACCCTGGAGTCTTCAGAAGATGTGCTGGGCGAGGTGAGGCACCAGGATGGATGGGACTGCTGGGGGGGGGGAGTCCCAGCACTGCCCTGCAAGCACTCATCTCCCCTCCCCGCCCCAGATCCTCTGCAGAGGACCCTGAGGGAAGTTAATGGTATAGAAAATAGCACGGTGTCTGGGACCAACAAAACATCTCTGTCACACAGGCCTGGGTTCCAAAGCCACTAGCACCACTTAGGAGATTTGTGTCTTGGAGCAACTGGGTCTCCTCCCTAGACCTTTTGTAACCTGGAAAATGGGGAGATGGCCTCACTGAGGGGGACCATAAGACACATGAAGACTGACATCCAAACCTTCTCCTTTGCCTGGCTATCCGTCTCCTTTTAATCCATGCAGAGACTTACCAGATGCTTCCAACAACCCCAGAGCAGGCAAATGTTCTGCCCATTCCACAGGTGAGAAAATAGACAGACAAGGAGATTATGTTTTGCCTGACGACTTGGTCAAAGAGCCACCGAGGATAAAATCCCCCAGTTCCCTCGGGGTTTTCAAACACATCACCCCACTCGATCCTCCTCACAAAGACCCCAAGAATCGCCACCAGAGCTAATGCCTAGAACTGCCCCACGGGAGACCAGGGCAGCTTCCAGTTGCCTGGCTGCCTGCTCCTTTCTCCTCCTGAGAATCTTCTTCACTCCCATAAGTGAAGCCTGCCTGTGGCAGGAGCACAGACAAGATGTCATCATTGGGTCCCTACCTCCGCTGACTCACTAGAGAATTTTGAGGAGAAACATCAAAACCACTTCAAGGGAAAGCAGAGTCTATCTCTTGGAGAGGAATGGTACCCTAGGGATATCCATCTCAGAAAAAGGGCCCCATGCCCCAAGCACCCCTCCTCCCTTGTGCCTTCCCCGGTGCTCTCTGACCCCGGTGGGCCATCCCTAAGCATCATCCACCAGAGTTCCTAGATCTGCTGGCCCTAGGCCTCCATCAAGCACATGCAGTGGCCATAGGGGAAGAAAACAGACACCCAGACAACCAAGGGGACCCAGGGGATGGGGATACTTAGCCTTTAGGAGCACTGTGAGAACAACAAACAAACAAACAAGCAAAACCCTGGAACGTGACCCTCTGAGTTGTTGGATAAAGAAACCACTTGTGTTGCTTAGCAGTGTGACAGATGGCTGTCTGCAGGTTATCTTCCAACACGGTGCAGGTACCCTTTCTTACTAGGGTTCATAAAACCAACTTTCCCAGCTCTGGCTGGAGCTGTCCACACAGGCACCACCATCCCCAGCAGGGCCAGAAGCCTGTGGGGCGTGGGGGAGGACCTGGGGGGCAGCAAGGAGAATCTACGTCTTACCTGGCTCTGTGCAGTTCTTCAACAACTGAGTCCCATTCACGGGAGCCATCAGCTTTCTGTTCCGCCACGCGTCTGGTAGAGCACGTTTGCTAGCAGAAGCTGTTTTGTGCCCTGGATTGGAAAACAAGTCAGAGATGACATGAGGTCAATGTGATACCTGCATTCTCAAAATGATCTTACAGGTACATACCTAGCCATGTCAGCAACAGACCTGGTTTGGCTATTTAGAGACACCTGTAGAGAGTGAGCTAATGGTTGGAGATATATCACCTGCTTACCCACAGTACTCTGCTTCCTGGGTCTAATTCATTGTTTCTAATCCCAGATAGACCAGCGAGTAATTTGACCTTGGACAAGACTGAGCTGATCTCAGCCCCTCATTGGTGCAACAAAGGGTTTAGTTAGTGACCACTGACTTCTCTTTCAGTAAACAGAGTCAGTTAGCAAGCCAGACAGTTGGTGGGGAATGGCCTAGGGATTCTCACACAAATCACCTGGGGGTCTTGTTGAAATGCAGATTCTGATCCAGAATGGTGTGGAACTTGGGATTCTACACTAACAGCCTCCCAAGTGACGCTAATGGTCCAAAGGCCACACTAAGCCCATGGGAAAAGGCAAGGACGCCTGGGACCAAAGGCCGTTAAACTCCTGACCTAGCAAATAAAATGGTTCTCATTTTAAGACCTTTAAAGTATTCATTTACCTCTCCTGAGGTGCACTGTTTCAGCTGGGTAATAATACCTCTTCTAGAATGCTGACAGCTAAGAGCATCTGGGCATTTTTAAAATTATTATTTCTGGTGTGTAATTAAGGGGGGGAAACCCCCACTTGCCCAATTTGCAATGTGTAATTAAGGGGGGGAAACCCCCACTTGCCCAATTTGCAAAGTACCGCATTAAAACATTCAAAACAAACTCTCTGGGTTTCTTTTGAAAGAGTCACTTTTTAATACTCTATCCCAAATCACAAAATTTGGGTTTTGTATGGCAGTGGTTTTTAAAAAAGAAAAAAAAAACAACTTTGATCAAGTTTCACTTGATTTTAACATGCTGCTGTAAACCTCTCTAAATGAATGGTCTTTAGACAAACGGTCTAACTTCTCAAGAAAGTACCATCCACTGGGGAGGTAGTGCAGGCCAGCAATCTCAGCAGCTCAGGAGGCTGAGGCAGGAGAATCACAAGTTCAAAGCCAGCCTCAGCAACTTGTCAAGGTCCTAAGCAACTTAGTGAGACCCCATCTCAGAATTAAAAAATAAAAAGGGCTTGGGATGTGGCTTAATTGGTTAAGTTCCCCTGGGCTCAACACCTGGTACAAAAACAAAAACAAAACAAACAAAAAAAAAAACTGCTGTACCTCCATGTCTCAGTTGCAAAATCACCTACATTTCTATTTTTCTTTTACATTAAGAAACATTTAAAGGTTCACAGTATCCGACTTGCAACCAGAGCATCAGGACAAGGAATGTGCTCTGAGGGTTCCACATGGACTCAAACCCCAAGGCATACGTTTTACCAAGTTTCTTCTTTCCCGGTTCCATCTGAAATTAGCAATAACATAAGTGACTCCCAATTCCCTTTCCTTCTTGGAGAATCACGGCCCCACCTACCAGCCCTCTCCTTCCGTGGGGACTGAGAGGAGTTAAGGGAAGCGATGCTGAAATGTGACAGCAATCTCCCGCGGGGACAGACTGTCCCAATCCTTTTAGTGTTTGGGGAAGACGCATCAGGAAAACCAGGGAACCGCTTTGGACTAAGGCGAGGGCGAAGGGAGAGCTGAGACCCTGTGGTAGTTTCCCGTTCTGAGGCTGGGTTTTCAAGGGACGTGGAGAACAACCCTCGTCGCTCTGCAGAATAGCAAAGCGGACCGTTCAGTTCCACCCAACCCAGAGCCGGAGACTTCAGCCCTGGGTGCTGCCGCTGCGCTCCAGGGGCAGAGGCGGCACAGGATTCAATCTTAGTAACACACACCTACAGCCGCGTCCTGAGCCCCCGGGGGCTGCGCGCCGCTCGGCGGAACGAGCTCCACAGTTCAGAGCATCCTCCTGGGTGCGCACTACTTGCCCCGCAGGGAGGGGCTGGACAAACCCTTGGGACCAGCCTAAAGAAGAAGGAGCGGGAGCTGTCTCGAGGCTTCCCAGCTCAAGTCCCCCCGACTCGCCCGCCCGAGGGAGCCGGCACCCGCACCTACCCAAGCTGCCGAAGAGGCCAGACGCACAGCACACCAGGGCCAGCACCGCGCACACGAAACCAACTTGCTGCGGCAGCATCTCTCGCCTCCTGCGAACTTTGCGCGCCCGGAGGGTCCCGCGGAGCGCCATCTCCGAGCACCTGGGCGCTGTCGCTGGGAGGGGATGGGGAGCTTCAGGGGTCAGAGTGCGGTATGTGGCCAAACAGCGCCGGGGCTGGAGCCGGCGATGCGCAGCTCAGAGGCGAGCGACTCTGGGCCAGAGCTTCATGGCCCGTGAGCGTAGCTGGCCCAGAGCGAGGGTCTCCCGAAGGAAGAGGAGAGGTGGGGGCACGGAACCGTCGGAGCTCAGAGTCCCGCGCGTGGCTGGCACTCTCCGCACACCATTGCTCGGTGGCGAAAAGGCGACGCCGGCACGGTGGCGCTGGCGGCCTTAGCTTGTAGGCTTGGCGCAGTCCGGGAGCTGGAGCCGCTACCTGCCCGCTCAGGCTCAGCGTGCTCTCCCGGCTGAGCCCGCCGGGAGCACTCAGTGCGCCCACGCGCTCCACGCCGCCGCGCCCACTGGCAGCATCCTCCTCCTCCAAGTTTAGCCGCTGCCGCCCCGACTGCCCGCCCGCGATGCTCCCCTACTTCCCGGCGAGCCGAGCCCCTGAGCGGCCAAGTGTGCGCAGCTGGTAGGCAGGCTGGACGCGCGGGACCTGCGACCCTCTGGGCGAGAAGCCTCCAATCGGCCCTCCCAGGGGCGAGCTCTCCCCGGGAACTTTCTCTCGGGTTCCTCAGCTGCCGGTGCTTGCGTCTGCGAGGCAGTGGCGCCTCCCGCTAGCTGCTTTCGCCTCCCCACTCCTCCCCTCCCGCCCGCCTCTCGCCCTCCCTCCCCAG